AGAGGTGCAACAGGAAGTTAGAGGTTATCTCCAAAAGTGAAGAGGATTCTCCTATAAGAATGTTATCTCACAACAGGAGGTAAGATCTTCCAGTAAGCACAACTCTCAAAACTTTCTATCTATCCGGAACAATCCTACAGATTCCCATCTATCTCATCAATATTAGTACACAGGAGAAATAGTGAAAAATAAACAAACATTACCAAAATGTTGTCTTTATTTTTGTGCGGCAGAATGACCCCAGGAGGGAAATAGGCTGTTGTGCTTGATGTGATTTCTAAATTTTCACAGAGATCGGCTTGAATAGTACAATCCATCCATCCCACACTGACCAATCCTTCCTAAATCGCAGGACAAAACAAGACTCTCACTTATCAAAATGGGACACAAAATGATATGATGGAAAAGAATACATCATGAAATAAATAAATCGAAGGTTTATTAAAACACAATTCTAGAACAATAAATAGATTCAGACAACATAAATGACACTAAAGAAAACACTTACAAGCATTCCTGCAAGCTTTAGACGTGTTTGTGAAGACAGGCAATCTGGAAAAAAGAATAAAAGGGTAGTTCAAATAAAATTGGATTGTAGATATGAAAAAGTAATTGAACTCAAGTCTCAAGATATGTAAAAAAAACAACAACAAAAAAAAAAAACAGATAGTCCCACTTTCTGAGACTTTCTTTCTGAGACTTTCTACTTTCTGTTTGGTTTCCAGATGCTGAAACTTTTATTGTATTCTTAAGTTTTCTTATTTTTTTCTCTATTTTTTATTTTTTGTTATATTGCAAACTCTTGATTTGTCGTCCCCAAGGCTATATAACAAATACATAGCCTATACTGACAGATAGAGGATATCCAAATACAGTGGTAACTCGGTTCACAAACTTAATTCGTTCCGCGATTCCGATTCGGTCGTGAACCGAATCAAACTGTGATCAGACCGCGATCTCGACTAGAGGAAGCCACGACCATGTGTCAGAGCAGGGAAAATGACTGCGGTTGTGTTCGTCACCCGAAGCAGAGTTCGCGAACCGAACCAAAATTTTGCCGAACTTCCTGTTCGCGAACCGAATTATTCGCGAACAGAAGCGTTCGTGAACCGAGGTACGACGGTACTCTTATTGCAATGCTGCGGAGATGCTATAGTATTGTATTATCTTCTACTTCGTTTACTTGAAAGTTTCCCTTTACCTCAGATATATTACCACTGAAGCACTAGGCTAAGGAAGATGTGACTAGCTCTGTTGTTCTACTGAAACTGATGCAAAGAAAACAACAAGAGAAAACTAAAAGGAAGAATCTCAAAATATAAATTTCATTTGGTTTCCAGTTTAGTTGTCTCCTTGTCTTCCTTCAACTTATTTATTAATGACATCGGGGAGGGTGTTAACAGCGATATTTCCGTGTTTGCGGATGACACCAAAATAGGGAGGGTAATAGACACGGACTTAGACACTATAACATTACAGGAGGACCTGGATAAAATAGGGGAGTGGGCATTAATGTGGCAGATGAGGTTTAATGTCGATAAATGCAAAGTAATGCACTTTGGAATTAAAAATAAACAAATGGGTTATACAATTATGGGTATGCCGCTAGGGAAGTCAGAAATGGAGAAGGATTTGGGGGTCATTGTAGACCACAAACTGAAAGGTAGTTTGCAGTGCCAGGCTGCTGTAAACAAAGCTAGCAGGGTCTTGTCCTGTATTAAAAAGGGGATGTATTGCAGGGACAAGTCTATAATTTTGCCACTTTATAGATCATTGGTTCGACCTCATCTGGAGTACGCGGTCCAGTTCTGGTCACCAGTACTAAGAAAAGATGTCCTTGAGTTGGAAAAAGTCCAGCGAAGGGCAACCAAACTAATTAGGGGTATGGAGGACCAGAGCTACGAGACGAGGCTACTAAATTTAAACATGTTCACATTAGAGGTGAGGAGATTAAGGGGGGATATGATTTCCATGTACAAAATGTTTAATGGTGGTAGCAACATTAGCGATAAACTGTTTAAAATTAACTCCGTTACAAAAACTAGAGGCCATCACCTAAAATTGGTGGAAAAAAAATTCCAGCACAAGGGGCGAAGGGGGTTCTTCACAGTAAGATCAGTTAGGGTCTGGAACTCACTGCCACAGGCGGTGATTTCAGCAAATAATGTGGAATTGTTCAAGAAACTTTTGGACGATTTCTTAAGGGACCGTAATATACAGGGGTACAGGTACTCCTAGAATGAGATCCTAATAGGTTGGACTTGATGGACTAATGTCTTTATTCAACCTCAAATACTATGTAACTATGTAATGCTTCAGGTGCACACCATTCACACTTAGCACTCTATTATCCACTCCTTTATCTACTTCACTGGCAAAAGCAATAGGTTACTGCATTTCACGTTCGTATTGCTCTACATTGTTTAATAAGCTCAGTCGTGCCTGTTTAAACCTTGCCTTTGAAGAATTGAGCCTATTGCAATGTGATCGGTTCTTTTAATCTAATTAAATGAATTGACCTTTTCTATTTCATGCCAACATTGTGATATAGCATCATCTGTCACATCTACTCACTCTGTAGCCCCAAAAAGGCAAAGAAAACAAATAACATAATCATGTTGCATGGATGTTAAATAACCCAAGAAGTTTCAGAGATTGCTTAAAAAGTAGCACTAGGGAACAACAATTTAATCCAGTTAGGGATTCATTAATGCATCATTAAATGAACTGCCCAGTGGCCAAAAGTACCTGAACTTGTCTGGATATCGGCCTCTTGTATTCTTAGTTACAGCAGCTCTCGAACTGGGAGAGGCAGCGCTAAAGGTCATTTAGGCTCTACTGCATCTCCTGGTGCTTTCCGAGAGCAGCAGAGAGCAGAGTGATGACCTCATGGGTGTGCTACTGCTCCTTCATTGTCCTATTAGCAGATGTGGTGGGTCAAGGGCCAGACTGCATAGCTCAATTGCAAAGCAGGCTGCAGAGTGGTCAGAGGGATCAGAGGGATGAAGGGCCTGGCTCTGCTGCCTAGCAGGGGAATCCTGGTAGCTGAACAGAATTACAAGTCACAAGACAGTTCCCAGGTACATATTTCAACTGCATATTTAGCGGTTTGCGTGAAGTTCAGCTTTTAGGGAACCTGTATCGAGAGAAAAATGTAGGCTGCCACTGACAACCCCTCATGGAAATTTTAGTGGTCTCATTCTGGCTTCAAGACTTGCAGATCAAGGACAAGCCTGCAAGGACAAGTCACACTGAAGAGCAAACTCTCAGACTCCATATTTATTTTGATCAGTAGCTCCAAGTATTGAAGCTACTGGGTTAGCACGCAAGGCACGCAACTAGTAAACAGTGGCAGCATCCATATTTCTATCAGTATAAAAGTGTCTGTTGACCAGCATTACGTTAATTGCGGAAGCTGTAATCAGCAAACAAAAAACACTGAGAGGAACTGTAGTGTGACCATGAAAACCGTTGGCCCTGAGCAAGGCAAACAAAATGCAATGATATCAAATGTAACAGGCTCAGAATCAGGAAACACAAGACTATTACTACATCCCTGCAAATGGCACAGATAAGATTACCTCCGCTGTCAGCACAGAATGTAATGAGCCAACCAACACCTGAGGCAAACGAACGTTCAATTGAGCTTCTGAAATTTCCTAAAGAGAAAAATAAAATGTTAATTAAATGTACATTAAATGCACTCAGATAGTCCTTCATTTAAACTAAAAGATGATGTAAAAGAATATGGAACACATAAGTAATATAGATTTATATGAGAGTCTCTGGATTAATAGATGTTTCAGACATGGGAAGATCTCTGTCTCTTATACATCAAATGTAAAGACACATCACATATATAAAGTTTAAACATTGACATATCCATCATTCTGACAAATATATACTGAAAAGCAGGGCAGAGACATAATAAACTTTGCAGTAACTGTGTTCACGTCATGGGGGCATGTATATGGACCATTGTGGGAGATCTACATAGATACAGCATTACAAAATTTGTATATTTACCTTTAAACCCGTAAGGCGTAATATCTCATTGATTGGAAACAAAAAGTTATACTTTAAAGCTGAACTCTAGACAAGCTTTTCTTAACCAGAATGCCTTGGCACCCTGTTGTGCCTTCTGGCTTTCCCAAGGGTGCTTCAAAATTGTTACTCGGCATCCATCCACTAGCACCATGGAAATTAATGACACTAATCCAGGGAGGGTGGGATCTATTCACAAAAGGATGGAAGTTAAACTCTGTCCAGGCCAACTCTAGCTGGCTCCTGCCCTCTACCATGCTGCTGCAGATGCGGCCCCTGATGTGATGGTATGACTCTGATGTGAAGGCGGTACTGCGGATATCTTAGAACTAGTGCTGCATTAGTTGTTTTTTTTTAATCTTTCCCTTTATCACCTGGTGATCCTTTAGCGATATAAATAACACACTTCCTGTCTACACTCATTTTTGGCAAGTATTTTCTGTACTTGCTGAAAATGTTCTTAGCCTGAAAAAAGAAAAGGAAGGTGGTCACCACAAGGACTGGTAGGCTGCAATATATGACATTTTTATTTTTAGGTTTAAATAAACTTTAATATCCAAATTTGTCATTGACATTCACCTTCTACAATCCCATGTATATCAGTATTCGCCCTGAGAAAGGGAGGGATAGCACTCTGAGCTATTCAGGCTCCATAGTTTTTGGCTCTATCTCCACCCAGTTTTAAGTTTTGGGTGTTACAAACCACCCTGGGATGTTCCCATTCTGCCTCTTACATTCACCAGCATGGAAAAGAAAAAAAAAGACAAGCAGGAGCCACTTGTAATGGCACAATGGACCTGGGACCTCAAACACATAAATCTCACCATCAAATGTAGAGATGTAAAAAAATATCATTAGATGATCTTTTCAGCATCTAAGAAAAGCTGAACATCTGTTTTGAGGGGAGTGGTGCTTCTACAGTGAAATCAAAGTCTTGACTGCTCTGTCTGTCAGGGCTGTGCAAATCACAAAATCCATTTCCAGGTATACACACACACACACACACACACACACACTTTAGATACCTGCCTTGAGTTCAGCTTTAAAGAAGACCTCCACCCAGATCAAGCGCCATAGTTTCTGCAGCTATGTCCTACCGTCCTTGTTTACACTTCATACATCAGTGTATACCTTATTGAAGTGAATGGGTCCAAGGCTGGATTCACACCTAGTGCGCGTTTTTTCCCCCTGCATTTGCCACGCCACCATGAATTTCAATGGGTTCCTATATGCGCAACAAACGTGGAAAAGTAGCGCATGTAGCAAAATCTGCAACGCGCGTTCCACGGTTTTTTTTTCTTTCGCGTTTGTGTACGTTTTGACGCGTACAAACGCAGAGGAACGTGTACACTCGTGGCCACGTTTGGGGTGCCATTAACTAGCAATGGCAACACAAGCACGTTTCGCATTTTGTGCGCATTTTACGAACACCCATCAAAACCCATTTGCCACAAGGACCGCAAAGCCTAGGTGTGATTCTAGCCCAAGAAAAACATCTGACGGGTAAGAGAAGAAAGCGACTCAAGTTATCAAAATAAACAGGTAATTTTATTTGCAAGCACGTCGTCCTCCAATCACATATGTATATTATTTATTTTTAAGAGTCTTCACTGCTATAACACAAATGCTTGTAAGCAAAGCAATACTCCATGCAAGAGAACGAACCGGCTGCACCCCAAACTTTCCCTGCATAGATTTTAGAATTTAATGTACCATTTAGCCCATTGGTGGGTGAAACATGTTATGGGACGTTATCTACACTTCAAAAGTCTGGTATGCAGTCAGGAAAAAAGTCCATGAACTCATTGCGTTCCTGACCGCTTGGTCCAAGATCCTCTGGTGGGTGCTACGGTAGTCGACGGATGGCACCGTTACATTCACAAAATACAGATGAGACACCGGGCACTCCTGATGTGAATGAATAACGCGTCTTTTTATTGACGTGTATGCGGCACACAAGCATTTGTGTGATATGCCGCATACACGTCAATAAGAAGCAGCGTTATTTATTCACATCTGGAGTGCTGGTGTGGAGTCAGTTCTCTCTCTTGTATTGTGGATCTTCCATGGAGCCAGGATGAACTCCCTCTGTTGTCTATGCCCAGCATTCTGCTGAGCAAGCCGACATTGGGGTATATGAGTAGTGCCTACTACCTCTCTGTGACTTGTACTATGTGTTATTTCCTTACCTGCCCATAACTCTGTTACAGAGCTTGACACGTAATTCATAGCAAAATTAACCAAATCATCTGTTAACCGATCACCAAAGTATTTGACTGGATTCTGCAAATGGAAAAAAAAATGTGGCATTCGATGAAGCCTGTACAGAAAGAGGTAATACCAATATGTAATCAGGAATCCTGTTCCCCATGCATCCGATCTAAACCAAACAAAAGGGAGAGGTTTCACTAATCTTCATCACCATTTTGTCACCTCGGTTACTGGGGTGAAGAGAAGACTTCACCGATGACATTTTGCTTTCTTTATATGCCACACATATCCAGAAGTAACCCTTTATTTTCAATAGAGGTAAAACAGAGAAGCAACATTCCCCAACGTGTACTTCGTTTAAAAGAGGGATTTCCGAACACTTCCTTTCCCAGTGATATAACCTCAATGAAGTCACTGAAAGTAGCAAAAAACTAACCGAGGTTCAAACCTTTCCCACCCAACTGAAAAAATTTGCTTTTGTTGCCGTGTTTCCCACCGGAGAGACTATTCTCCCATTCTGTCCGGATTACAGAACAGGAAGTAAAAGGGAAATCTCCCAAATGGGGTCAGAGACAGCAATCAAACCCTGGAACAAGTAGAGGTGAGGCGCTTGATTTAAATATTCAGAAGATCGGTCAGAATGTGATACAGAACCAGGGTTGCAGTGAGGCAGCTCTCACCAAATATGGGATATTGCTCAAACAAGGGAATCCAGAATTAAAGATATACATATCTAAAGTCCACTGAGAGCACCAAACAAGACAGAATGAGAGTCAAAACATTTATAACAATAACATTTGCTTACAAACAACAACATAGAACATGCAACATGTTTCAGGGGCTCATAGACCTCCCCCTTCATCAGGGTTTAAACATAATGAGGGGAATTTATCAAAACTGGAGCAGACCAAATCTGGAGCTGTTGTCATAGTAACCAATTAGCTTATCTTTTCAGTTTGTTCAGTTAAGCTTTGAAAATGAAAGATAGAAGCTGATTGGTTACTATGGGCAACTACTCCAGATTCTGTCTAATCCAGTTTTGATAAATTTTCCTCAATAGATTCAAAGTTGGCACAGAATGGTGGCTAATGCTCAGAATGCTCTCAGAAATGTCATTTTCTGCATTGATTGGCTCACTAATTTGCCTAGTCACTTGCTCTAAGACAGAAGTCGAATTTGAGACCTCGGCTGCAATAGAAATGTCATTTTTAGTGAGATGTTCCTTATGGCTCAATGACTAATAAGGGGATGCAAACACTGCAGCTTTCTGTATTAAAAACACCGATGTTTGTTTTACCCTGTGGGTATAATGAAGACAGATTCCCATTCAGGAATCAGTCTGGAAAGGACATGGTGAAACAAACAGCTCATACTAAAGACAGTTTGGTTTTTTTCCATCACAACTGGAGTTACCCTTTAAGAGCATGCGTACTGCTTTGAAAGAAAACAAAAACAAGAAACTATTTACCATTCCAGCTTTAAAAATGTAGAGACTTGGATAACTATTAATTCCTTGGCCTCTGCAAAGCATGCGGTCGTCTCCGCAATTTACTGCTCCAATGCGAATAAGACCTTCCATCTCTTTGGCAAACTCTCTCCACTAGATGGAAAAAGAATGCATGTAAAAAGGATTTCAAGCAAGAAACATGCACATTTCAAAACATCATAACCGGTTATTTAATTACTTACTGTAGGAGCTAGATCATGGCAATGGGAACAGCGAGGCGAATAGAAATTAATGAACCACAATTCTCCAGAATTTACAGCCCCATCTGTAGAGGGAAAAAGAAGAAAAGTTTGAGAACATAACTTCTGTACAATTTCTTCACTTGGCAGCCGAGGTATACAATAAAATTAATACTAAAGATGGAACCTGCACATTGTAATTCCAGTTAACATAAAATTCAAAAAACACTACAATTCTGAGCTAGTTTCTACTTTTTTATCAAGGTAGTTTTTTTTGTAAATAACAATCGGCTTCAATATTTTACAATAAAAAAAAAGATGAAAACAGCAAGTAAAGAATGGCCAAATGTAGTTTATACAACAGACTTCCATCGTAATGTAATGTACATCGTATGGACATAAATATACTAACTGTATCGGAGACATGTACAGTAAAAAAAAAAAAAGTATTTATGGTTACAGAAGGACTGTGGTCTGTGAATTCGTTAGGCCTCATGCACACAGCTCTCCAAACCGCGGCTGGGGATTCCTGCGTCAAGAAGCTGCGGATTCTTGCGGCAAGAATCTAAGGTGTGTCCGTACACTCAGATGTGGCTGTTGTGCCCATTCAAGCGAAAGACAGGCTGACCGCAGCCGCATCTGTCCATAGCTCATGCATGGGACGATGGATGTGATGCTTGTCCATGCAGACAGCCATGCACACATGCGGCCGCTGTCACCCTGTCATTCATTTGAACGGGTAACTGTACGGGCACACCCGGGATTTCTGCCACAAAATTTAGCAGCTTCTTGCTGCAAGAATCCTAAGCCGTGGCTTTGAACACCGTGTGCATGAGGCCTTATTGTACTGGACATTTAGAGTAGGTATAATGCATAACTGGCAATAGGAGACATAGTGAGGCTTTCTAGCCTAACAACCAAGATCTCCAAAGAGTCTGTTCATAACAAGGGCTGGGGATACAAGGGTAGGGTTGGTTAACCACCCACACCCGATCTTTACAAATTGTTGGGAGCTACCTCTATGGTTATAGGTTAAACTTTCCAAATGCAGGACGGAGTGCGGTGCGGTGGAAGGTTGAGGCGGTGTTGTGCTATAGTTTTCTGGTACAGGGCTCTAGTTCTTGCAAGCTCTGGTGAGGGTCATCAAAAGGGGAGGACCAAGATTGCCAGGAGACACATATTTAGCTCAGAAGCACACTGCAGTTGAAATGTACAGATAATCATTTCAAACACATGATATCATTAGTGGACCACTTGTGCCCATTTTCAAACATGTTAATAAGGTTTTCTTGTCCTGAGGTGCACCTGTAGCATAGCGAGGAATCCCTGAGACAAAAACGGTACATACTTAAGGTGGTTCAGTAAACTCTCATAGAAGTGGCTACTGACATGTAGGGTATCTTGTGCAGTGCCTTAAGCCATTGTGTGTTCATTAATGAGCCTGGGCCCATCGCCTTTCTTGGTAGTGACAGTCGATTGTTCAATTTGGTAAGCTGGGTAAAATAAATTTTAGATATGAGGCCTTTCTTACACTGAGAATGGCCTATGGTGGAAACCAATGCCATTTTGTGGTGTGTAAGTTCTTGTTGACTATTAATGACATGATGAAGTTAGAGATCTCTAAAAAAAAAAAAACATGGTTCTTGGGAGGTGTCTGCAGTTGTTGAAAGGATTTAGTTAGATTTAGCGGTGAGAGGTGAGTAATAACTTTTTTCTCACAAATCAGACCCTTTCAGATCAAGTAACTCAGTGAGATAGCCATTATACCATAGCAGGGTTTACTTGTTAAAGCTCAGATAGTTAATGTAATGTACCCCCTTTCGCTAAAAATCCCATCCGCATGCAGACTAAACATTAAATATTTCTAAAGGTGTCTTTGTTGTTATTTTAAAGATATGGGTAAAGTTCTCTTAAGAAATAAGTTTATATGTAGCCAAATCTTATGGTACAGGTAACAGCGGGGTATTGCGTATATTCCAAGACATCGCCTGCTTCTAAGGTTGAGATGGTAGCCTGTGCACATGAGGGATGATGTCAAGTCTTTGTTAGGATCCTCTAAGGGAGATAAATGTCAGTTTCCAAAATGCTGTGAAGTTGTGCAAGTAGTTTTTGGGACAGGCCTCCAAACCAATCCAATTGTTCATTCCTCTGACATCCACTGACCAGAGGTATCTGCAGACACCTACAGCCACGTAGGTCTCCAAAAATGTAAAAATTTATGTGTACAACCTTTGGAATAATATGTTGATAACTTCTATAATTATGGTGCACTCGCTTCTATAGTATTTAAGGCAATACACTCCAATTGCAAAGATCAGGGTTTTCATTATTGCCTACAAGCATAGTAAAGGCCATTTAATATACACCACCGCAACTGATTATTTTAAATGAAGACAAAGCTATTTTCTCACAGCCACCAATTAGAGGCCTTCTTTTATTTGAATGACACAAGAGTGGTAGCCATAAGACATGCAGTCACAGTGTACTCCAGTGTCCATAAACCATGCTGCAATCATCCTTTTCTTGCTTAAAAAAAATGTACACAAATTTTAGATACATTATTATGGATCTCCTACAGAGAATAAAATGAAATATAATGAGGTTTATTTACCAAATTCTCCTCTATCCAACGTGACAATTTCAGGGTCATCATCATAAATACCTGAAAAAGAAAAAAAGGTGCAGATTAGTTAAACCAGTACTGAACTGTGTTAATATGAATGTGTTAAAGTTGATCTATCTTGGCTGCTTTACAAGTATACAAGCATAAGTTTCTGACATAATATTTAGCAATAATCTTCCTGCATAACAGGAACCATCGAGGCCATGATCACAGTCCAATATGTGGATTCTGGATGATGCCTGAACAAAGATGGTGCCAGCCTGGGGAGAAAAAAAGTTTAAAGCATTCATTTTCATTTAATTTAATTACCAAGAGGTAATAAATACCTGTAAGCATTGCACAATACTTAGTATGCATGCACATAACAAATACCTGGCACATGGCCACACCTAGACCTGCCCACTGCTTTCTGGGTTGACAGCATTTCCTCTGTTGCTGTAACCCTCGTACTGTGAGCTGCAGTGTCTAGGAGGGGGGAGCATGCGAAATACAAATGAAGGGGAGATAAAAGGAAGTCTTTTGTTTGCTTGTGCATCACATAGTATTTGGATTTGGGACTTGTATGGACTGTCATATAGGAGCCTGTAGTTGTCCTTTAGAGTAATATAATAGCTTTTGTCTTCAATGATCACTTTTTTGATTACTATTCAGGTTGCGTCCATACTTAAAAACTTGTCTTCAGACAGAAGTTTGACAACAAAAAGTAGTCAAAAGTCAAAATAACGTTTCAAATAGGGATGTTCAGATACCAAGTACTGTACTCGGTACAAGTACAGATACTTTTCCAGCTACAAGACTAAACTAGAGAAAAATTCAAAAGTTAGGAGGCAGCCGGCATTTTTAAAAGGAGCATACGGAGCTCCTGGGATCAGTACATCCCTTTTCTAATGTACAGATACTTCTCCAAGTCTTCACAGATACAAGTACTGATAAATTTTTGTTTATTGTCATGTGACAGTTTTTCTAAAACTATACAGACTAATGATTTCAGGACAGTGGTGGAGGACCAGGGCCCTGTCACAGCTTTAACCGCTGCAACCCTGGTAGTTCTCTTGAAAATGCCAAGTATCGGCACTGGTATCTGAACATCCCTAGTTTCAGGTATATATTTTTATTTCATATAAAATATTGCATAGAACATTTAGCATTCTTATTCACGGGGTGCAGATGGAGGCCATTTTTATTTGTTTAATTGCGTTTTCTTTTTGACTTTGCTGAAAGGAGCTTCTTTATGTTTAATAGATAGAGGTGAAATTAGACAACACGGAGTAAATGAGTTGGAAGAACAGTGCAGTGGCTCTTCTGTTATCAGATGATTTAGTAAGAGGTTTCAGCCAAAGTAAACCAAAAAGCCGGGAGCCATTGCTGTGAGTTTCTCCAGTTAAAGTGCATTGGGAATCCTCTGTCATATACTGAATGTGTATATGTTGCAACATTTGTTTTAGAAAGTATTTAAAAAACATTATTCTAAAATTGACACAATTCATCAAAGTTCCTTCACAGTTTATCATGGGCAGCATAAGGATACATATAGGCGATCCTTGAAAAGTTATCTCTTTAGGGAAGTCTATCCCACATCAGCAGGAAAACTGTCCTTTTACTTCTTCCAATAACTCAATTATTACCTTTTGCTCCTTCTACTACATTGTAAGCTCTCATGAGCAGGGCCCTCCTAACCCTCCTGTATTGAAACGGTAACTGTAATGCCTCCTCCTATTTTGTAAAGTGGTGTGCAAACTGTTGGTGCTATATAAATCCTGTATTATAATCATGTACACTTGATTGAGGACATATTCTGGAGCAAAAAAAAAAACTTGACTATGGGCTGCTGCTCTAGCAACATTAATCAGCCAAGGTGACCCAATAGCAAGACACATGGACAATCACATCCTGGAGTGTAAGGGAGCGTGACAGAATAAACAAGGTAGATACCAGTTTGTCATTTGGGAAAACGGTTACTGACCAAAGCTCAAATGATAAAATGAGCATTATACTGTAAAATACCACTGTTTAAATTGTATTCGCAGTTAACTTTAATAATGTCAACACGGGCACCTAGAGTATCCACTCAGAGCTTAAAAGGAGAACTATGAGGTGAGTGATTTTCACTCATCCTCATAGTTAGAGCCGTCGTGTGACAATGAAACTGTCACACGTCGGTTCTATAGATCGGGAAGTGTGCGAATACATACTGTCGCTCGCTCACTTTTTGATTGGGGGAGTGGGCGGGCACAGCTGGCTCTGCCTCTAGATATGCAGAGCCCGCTGTCAATCACGCAGCTGGGTGGATCTCGACAGCATTGTCGGGATCTGTCCCAGCTGCGGCGCTCTCAGTATATAGTGAGCTGTACTTCGTGATATACTGAGCTTTTGGTCACGGGAGGAGGTTAGTATATGTCCTCCCGTAACCCTAAAGAGAACTATGGGGAAAAAACACTTACCCCATAGTTCCCTTTTAAGCTGCATCTAGATCAAAAAATTCATATATTGCAGCTTACCAGTCCGTAGGTGTGGCAGCTGCATTAGTTTTCATTTTAAGGGCTTATTTTTTTTAACCTTATTTTCACCGGTGATCCAGACCCTGTCCTAGAGTGACAACACTCATTCATCGCACTGTATCCTTGGAGGAGCAGTGCTAACATCGAGAAAATGTTTAACAGAAGAGCTGACTCATAAATTCTGCCCTCACACTCTTCTGACCTTACCATTAGAAGATTAAAAGGAGAACTACGAGGTGAGTGCTTTTCACTCACCTCATAGTTCTAGCCGACCTGTGACAATGAGACTGTCACAGGTCGGCTCAGTAGATCGGGAGGTGAGCGAACACATGCCGGTATTCGCTCACTTCTCCATCCTGTCACGGCTCTCTGCCGTGACAGGGGAGGGG